TTTAAAAAATAGAATTGTTTATATTTAGGCGTTTTTAACTGTTCAATTATCTGTTTTACTTCTTCATCATTTTGTTGATATCGCTGAAGATCATCGTAATTAAAAACAGTGATTTTTTCTTCTTGTGGAATAGGGTCAGGCTGATGATCCTGGGCTAGCTGCGGAACCGCATTAACGTTTTGTGTCGTGGTCGTACCATCTGAAAATGTTTGTTGCGCCGCTTGAGCTCTCGTTGTAACTGCCAAAATCATGTTTGCTTGAGCTGAGGATGCCGAATAGTTTGTCGGCTGATCATCTGTGACATGATCCGCCGTATCCGTCTGTGTCAACTTAGATTGTTTTTCATTTTCATCATACTCTTCGTTAGCTGGTTCGACTGGATGACGAGACAAAAAATCGCAGAGAACATTGTTTTTTCCTTTAATGTGAAAAACTTTAAACTGATACTCTTGTAGTTTTCGCGCCATCGCTCACAGTTGTGCTTGTTTGTTCAAATATTCCAGTAGTCGATGTAGTATCCAATGCAGGTCCATCGCGGCATGCTTCAAGAGATGCAAATGTTGCTATTCGTAACCAGGATGAAGTGGAGACTCAAATGATAGAGGAAGGTGAAAAAGATCAAGACAATAATGTCAATGAGAATCATAATAGTCCTGCGGATATGCCGGACGGTGCAGATGATCCTCACGACGGCATTGTCGACGAAACAAACATAAATCCAACCACGCTTGATAGTAATCAATGCGGCAGTGGATTGGTAACAAGTACTCCTAGACCTCAGCTTGCTGCGTCTACGTCAATTCTGGACCACCCTTTTGTTGGGGATGCATACCAGTTGTATAAGGGAAACCAGGCTACAATGAAAAGGTATCTAAACAGTAGTGGCTCTGATGATAAAACACCATCAGTGGCTCAAAGTGAACAAGAATCCAAAAAGCAACACATACATCAATCATCATAGTGCACTCATTTCATAGCATTTCTCATAATGTTCATAGTCGGATAGGTTTCTTCTTTGGGACCAATTCAATACGAAATATCACGCAGCGAGCATCATATCTTCCTATCGGTTTGTCGGATCATGACAGCATCTCAATCGAACTTAACATGTCCCCGAGTGCATCTTCATATCATCGTTGGATATGCAACTCTGCAGTTGTGACTCGAAAGCCATTTATAGAACGTTTCAAAGATATTTGGAGTGTCTTTCTCAGAATAGCTGAGTTTGAGTGCCAGGAATGGTGGTTAGATTTCAAGACAAGCCTAACATTGCTATTACAAGATGAAAACCATGAGATGGTGAAAGAGTCCCGGCGCGAATTATTCAGTTTACAAAAGAGTTATCGTCGTTTGGCCACAAACCCATCACCGGATGATTTTGTCTTGATGGATAACATACGCAACCAAATTCGTGAAAATTTGGAAAAAAAAGCTCTCGCAAAAAGTCCTGAAAAACATGAAAGAAATGTCAAAGATTTGAGTCTGATCGTAAAAACAGCTATGGCGAGCACAAAAGCTAGCCAAGCTCGTATTGTTACATCCTACGAAAGGAAAAGTAGAGTCAACATCAGAGATGCTGACGGTAGCCACGGATTTTTACACTAAGCTGTACAGTGAAAAACCAGCCGATAGTGGAGTCTGGAACAGATTCTTGACCGGTTTATCGAAACTCAGTCCTCAAAATGTTGATAAACTAGAAAAGGAAATCACAGTTGTAGAATGCTATGACGCTCTCAAGGAAATGACGGCAGGACGATCTCCAGGTGATGACGGGATTACGGTAGACGTATG